TCTCTCCATTTGTGAAAGGAGAAGGAAATGGGCATGACTGTCATCTCTCACCTCTGTTCCCAGAACAGACTCAGGAGAGCATTCAGCGGTTCGAGCAACAGGCAGGGCTGAGAGATGCTGGCTACACACCCCACAAGGGCCTCACCACTGAGGAGACCAAGTACCTTCGAGTGGCAGAAGCACTCCACGTAAGCTTGTTTCTCAGGAACTTAAAAACAGAAGTTCATCATTTATTAAAGACTTAAGACATGGCTGGTTTAGAGGTTACCAGCTCAGCCACTTGGAAGCTGTGGAAGGTGGTGGGGAGAGAACTGGGTAAGGATTTTGAAACTGGTTTAGACCTATGGTGGGACTTCCTGGCCGAAGACCAGAGCTTTCTCCGTAGTTCCCACTGCTGCATTTATAATTGGTGTCTCTGTTTTGCTTATTTCTGGTAAGGAGGATCAGATGAGGTCACATGTAATGTGTGGGAGCACTTTATGATCACAGAACAAATGGAGGTAATTTTGTATACACTGATGGACTTAGGAAGAAAGGACTAGATATCTTAGTAGAGATTTAGTTTAGAAAAGGTACAGCTGCAACAATGAATGAGTGGAAATTCAAGTTCTCTATAGACTTTTGTTGAAATCTCAATTAAAAGAAAAGATAAAAAAAGGGTATAGCATGCTTTATATGTAATTTTTTAAAAAGGAAAAATCTATGGGGTTCTGGTAGAGGTGGGCTTGAGAAAGAGTCAACATGTCTTTGGCAAGAGATTTACTATATCCTTCTCTGGAAGAAGAGAAGAAAAAGCATCTAAAAAATATTGACTAGTTCAAAGGCTTTCTTTATGGATGTAAAATGGCCAGGTTGCTACAAGATTACCACAGTTCCCAGATGCTAGATGGTTCTGTGTTGGTGGTCAGCCCACAGGAGGCTCCCACAAGGTTGTTCATTTAGAAGAAAGCAACGCTGATGCTCTATACAACTTCCTGAATTTCTATATTCAGTCATTGCTAAGGAAGCCTTACCAAGATAACATGATAACATCTCATTTTTTGGTAAAGTATGTGGCACTTACTTCTGGTGTCAGTTTTTTCAATAAAGTTTTGATTATGGGCAAAAATCCCCCCTCTTGTGGAACTATAGTGTTTGTATATTAATTTCTAAAATTAGAAAGAAAAGCTACTTTTGGGTTAATGATGGCCAAATTTTTGAGTCAATAAAATAATTTCAAAGAACTTTCAAGGAATACCACTTCATATTGAATATGCTTCATGATTTATAAAGTTCTTGCATTCAGTTAATCTTAGCAATCTCTGCATTGACCCCTTGAGGTAGCTATTATTGCCCATGTTTTATAAATGCAGATAATTAGGCCCAAAGTCTCATATGTAGTCAGTTAAACTGCCTAGATTCAGCAAGTCCTACATGCCCTATTTCCTACTTATTTCTTCCCCTTATTCCAAAGTTGTCAGAGATTTCTAGTTCCTTCCGATATCACCAGGCAGCCACAGCAGGTCATAATCAGGTGTGTGTGGGGACTTCTCGTGAAAGCAAAGCACAAAAGGCAGGAGAGGATCATGCAATACAGCATCTGAGCATGAGAGGTGGGGAACACACATGATAACAATCTCATAACCTGAGAGCAGTGATACTTTCCCACTTACATGTTGTAATTAGCATCCCTGATTAATCTTTGCACAGTGAGTTTATAAAACGGTGCTGTGGGGGATCAGGGCTAGGCCATCTCTCAGGCAGGACAGAAAAGGGGCACTGCCAGTCTTTGACACTCAACTGAGAACTCCCCAGGATAGGGATTAGTAGCATTCCAGTTGAGCAGTTCACCCTACTTAGTGACCCACTGACCTTGGTTGGCCCACTTTCTGACACTTGGCCACAGGAGTAGAGCATAAGCATGGCTGAAATGCTTGATGTCTGCGACTAATTGTTAACTGTCAGCTGCTGTAAGCGGATATGTTAAATGCTTGAGGAAAGTTCACACACTTGATCCTTTGGAATGTACGTGGGGCTAAGTGGTGATGATCTATCTAGGTTTGTCTCCCTCATGAGGCTGCTGGTTGTCTGCACTGCTCTGTAGACTCAGTGTGACTGTCAATGAGAGAAAATGGGACAGCTTTAATTAGAGAGGAAGAGCACGGCCGAGTGCTGGCTCTGAGAGTCATGGGAAAGGCAGCAATTGGACCTGGCAGGACAGCAGAGGTCAGGGCCCTGTGTAAAAAGGCCCGCAGGACTGGAGCTCGGGCTCTTCCCAGGGCTGATGGGTGAAGGTGGGGAAAAGCACTTTTCTGAAAGTCCAAGCTTAGTACAGTGTTTAAGTACAAAGATGCTTGATATATATAGTAGAGTGGATACATGTTTAAAAGATGGAATTCCATCAAGTGTGACAGAAAGAATTTTTTCTTTGCTAATCCAGACCTTTCCTGTCATACCCAAGTGGGGCTGTTCTGTACCTTGTTTGGGTTGCTCTAATGTTGAAAGCCTTCCCCTTTCTATCTGAACAGAAACTAAAGCTGCAGAGTGGAGAGATCACAAAGGAAGAGAAGCAGCCTGTGTCCGCACAGTCGACACCAAGCGGCAGCCCCCACTCGTCCCCTAAGCAGAAATCCAGGTGGGAATGAGCTCTGGCCTCAGGTGTGAGGAAAGCCATGTGTGTGGGACATCACCCAGGTCTGAGCCTGTAGTTTGAGAGGGAGAAGGGACAGTGGAGAGTCCTCTCCTTTTGGGCTGTGACATTTCTGGAAGATTAGGAAGAGGATAGATTTGGATGTCTTTTATTTTTTCTCTCTCCCAGAGGCTGGTTTACTTCTGGTTCTTACCCAGCCTTACCTGGCCCAAATTCCATTGTCATGGATTCTGGAAGTGGGGATAAGGACAGAAACCCATTAGATAAATGGAGCCTCTTTGGACCAAGATCCCTCCAGAAGTCTGATTCAGGTAAAGCAACTCCTTCAAAAGAGAAAGCTGAGCCAGGCATCTTACTTTGCACACTGTGTGCTGGGACTTGATCACCAGTTTTAATTTGTTCTCTGGTTTACTCTGCTAGGAGGTTTTGCCACCCAGGTCTACAGAGGAGCTCAGAAGCCCTCCCCGATGGACCTCATGCGTGCACAGGCCACCCGGATGGCCGAGGACCCAGCAGCCTTCAAGCCGCCCAAGATGGACATGTCAGTGATAGAAGGAAAGAAGCAAGCACCCCGAACCCATAACCTCAAACCCCGTGACTTGAACGTGCTCACGCCCACTGGTTTCTAGAATTTTCTGTTCTAGGGAATCTGGATTGAGGGTGTCTTTTCCTTTATACTCCTTTACCTTGGCTCTGACATAGGAAAAAGTTATATTTTTTACAACAACCTGTTAAATCAAGGCTAGAGCTCAAATCATAATTGACTTTTGAGAAACATTGGTGCAAAGCTTGTCCTTACTGTGTGGAAGAAGCCATTTTGTATGACATTAATTTAGACTTAAATTCCAGCAGTGATGTAACAGTGATGCTATTTTCCTTGAGACATGTGCTTTAATCATGGCTTCCTAGGTAACTGTTATTCCAAACTCCAGGCTTCTTGATTGCTTTACCATAGTCAACCAATGTAAGCGTCCGCACATCCTGCAGTAGAGATATTCACTGTCTAGGTGACACACCCGGCGCTGGGCTGGTTCCTTGTTCTCACTTAGCTGGTTAGGACCCGAGGATTTGGACAGTTAAGAGCTAGACCGGTGCTGAAACTTGCCTTTCCTTACCTTCTGGTAGATCTGTTCTGTAGCCACTTAATGTAGTCCCTCTTGGGCCAGTTCTAGGGAGAGAGACTCCTTTTTCATGTGTAACACAGAGCAAAACACTAGTCTTGCAAATTCTTTTTTTCACTTTAAGATTAATTCCAATTTGGTTGAAAATGTGATTAGAGAGAAAAATCAGTGTGTTGGTTTGATATTGATGTTAATTTTTTATTTTTTCAAAGTGCAGAATATTGTAACTACAGCTAGATTATAGCCTTGAGGATTTCCTTGTTCAGCCTAGGGCTCAAAATCACTTTTTCCCTGGGAGGTGTAGATGAAAGAAAAATTTCTTTATAAACGCATTTTCACCCCCAGTGAGTCATTTCTACAACTTGAGGAAAGGTAATGTTTATTGCTACCCTTTGTGTAGGTGTTTAGTTGAAAACGATCTCAGCTGCTGTTTTGGGTTTGGATGTTGTCTCTGTACGGAGCTGGCCTTTCTGTAGAGACACCCTGCAGTCTAGATGACGAGAACAATTAATTTATTTGCCACCTCTGTTATGCTTGTATCTCTTGTTTTGACAATAAAATCCTTATGACTTTCTCAAATGCGGACAGCTGAGTTTTTGTCTGGCTCAGCGGAGCTGTTACATGCTGCCTGTTCAGTTAGGGATCCTAAGTATGGTAAACTTGGTATTTTGAAAAGCCATTTTCTTTTTTTTTAATTTTATTATTATATCTTTTTAACAGCAAATTATTTGTAACAAACTTAATCCTGTTTCTTCCCCCTCTTCATTACATTAGGTCCCAGTAGACTGACCACAAAGTCAAATATCATGTGTTTGTCCATCAGGCAAAAGGAAGAGTCTTATTGTCTCCTCGAGAAACAAGTTTCAGTGCCCTGAATGACAGGGTGCTGATGTCTAGCATTTGTTCAGCAGAAGGATTCTATTTTCACATCTTAAATGGAATTGTTTAACATAGTGCATATACTATTACCTGTTTCAAAAAAAGTATAGATAAATAATTTATTAAAAAATATATATACACCTTATATATTTAAGCCAAATCTAAGAACAGGCTAATGTAGGATTATCAAAAGAAGCCATTTCTAAAGTTTTAAAGTTATTAAAACCTACAGATAAATAGGATAGGCTTGGTCCTGCAGGATTTTAAACTACTTTTCCTACTTTGAGAAGAGAGAGTTCAGGAGGTATTCTTGGTGCTCTGTGCTCACAAAGCCCTCAGGAACTGCTGCCGGTCTTTGTAGAGGTCTTTGCTTAGGGCTCGTCATCAGGGTTCAAGTCTGCAGCAAAGAGGAGCAGGAGCTTCAACAAGTGCACTTTGTTTTGGAGCTGAGGGACCAGGGGCTCCCCCAGGATCTGGATGAGGCGGCTGCGGAAGGCCTCAATCTGTTTCTCCACATCCACCACAGTGATGTCATCCCCTTGCTGGGGCTTGGCCTTAATCCTTTTGATGATTAGGTCTTTTCGGTCAATCACTGAGCTTCGTAAGTGCTCTGTAAGGGAAAAGATCAGTTGAACTGCCTTCTGTTAAGATTTAAGATGGAATCCACTTTTGGTAGGTCTTAAGTGCAAATTAAGGAATCAGTATGAACTTGCACTTTAAAAAAACCTCAAAACAACCGTAACCTAGATTTTTCATCTGAAAGGGCCTCAAAGTAGAGACACCAGGAACAGGCAGGACCCTCGAGCACCCAGGTTTTGGTTGCTAAATACTATTCCCATTCATTAAAAGGGAACAATTTTGGGAGAGGGAAGAAAGGTTAATTCTAGGACCAATGCAAGGAAATTCCAAGGTGAAACCTGACTTGACAAGAAAGTGAGGGGTGCTTTACTGCTAGGATAGGACACGGAGCCAGCCAGGGTGCTCCTATTGACCACATTTGGACAGCTTGTTTATTAAAAAATAACAAGAATGGATTGTAACAAAAGTGTTAAAGGGGTGGAGGCAGTAACCTTTCCAGGTGGCCTGTTAATAAATGTAAAAGAAACATTCAATTAGAAACCTACATTTTGCCAGTAATAACCACATTTTAACCACTAATAGATGGTTTAGGTAAGAGCTATTGATAGATGTTAAAATTTGAGTGAAAGGCTGAATAGGATATTTATGGTCTCAGAATTTTACTCTCAGGATTAATAACAGGAAAAATAAAACCTGGCAGTGGAGAAAAATAAGTTTGGAGAAATTAAACAACATTGATAATGGGACCAAACTTGATGTTACTGCCTCATCTAGGAAGAAAAAAGCCTTTCTACCAATCTTAATATAGCTACTGAAGAGCACTAGTGGCTTAGTGGTAAGGAATTGCGCTGCTAACATAGACACAGTTTGAATCCCCCACCAGCTGCTCTGTGGGCGAAAGATGGGTAATCTCCCATGTGACTTAGTGCCTCTGAAAAACTGCTGGAGGGTCAGCTATGGGTTGGTTCTGACTAGATAATTCTTAACAATAGCAATGTACATAGATGTTTTTTGAAGCATCCAACTTTTTACTTAGTACCCCAGCCAAACATCCAATGGACTGCCTAAAGAACAATTAGGTCCTGCAGAGGGTGCAGCTGGAGCGCTCTTTGGAGGCAAGTGATGAGGCTTCACATACTTCAGGCATGTTGGTAGGAGGGGCTATTCCTTGGAGAGGGGATGTGATGCCGGGAAGGGTGGAGGGTCAGCATGGGAGAGGAAGACCCTCAAACAGGTTGATTGATGCAATAACTGCCACAATGAGCTCTTGTGTGTCAGGAAGTGTGAGGATGGCACAGGATCGGATGGGGCTCAGATCTGCTTAGGTTTGTTACGAGTCGTACACAGCACCTAACAACTACTCCCGCTAAGTCTGTACTGAGCTCTATAGTTTGTTGTTACATGCCATAGAGTTACTTGCAACTCATAGTGACCCTGTGTACAACAGCGCTAAACCTTACTCTATTCTGTGCCAACTTCACTGTCTCTAACACATTCCCACTACCCCAATCACTGAATCGATCCATCTCATGGAGGGTCTTCCTCTCCTGCGCTGTCCCTCCACTCTCCCAAACATGACATCTCTCGCCAAGGACTGGTCCCTCGCAACATGCCCAAAGTATGTCAGACGAAGCTTCAGAATCCTTGACTCCAAGGAGCAGTCTGGTTTAACCCTCTCCAGGACAAATCTGTTTGTTCTCCTAGCAGTCCATGGTATATTCCAACACTCTTCTCCAGCACTGCAGCTCAAAGGCATCAATTCTCTTTCTGTCATCCCTAGTCTCTCCAGCTCTTTGATGCATAGCACACAAATGCGAAGACTATCGCCTGGATCATGTGCACCTTAGTCTCCAGCCTGACGTTGCTCTTCAGTACTCTGGAGAGGTCCCTGACAACTGACTTTCCTAAAGCAATTCATTGGTTGATTTCCTGGCTGCTGGTACCAAGAGTGTTGACTATGGGAACACCAAGCAAATGACAACTGTTAACAATGTCAATCTCTTCACCATCCATACTGATGCTGCCAATTGGCCCAGTGGTGAGAATCTTTGTTTTCTTGATGTTGAGCGTCAAACCATATTGAAGACTGCAGTCCTTGACCTTCTGCAGCAAGCGCTTCAGAAGGTCCTTAGTTTTAGCAAGCAGGGTTGTGTCATCTGTATAACGCAGGTTGTTGATGAATCTTCCACCCATCCTGATGCCACAGTCTTCCTCGTACAGCCCAGCGTCCCAGATGATCTGTTCTGCATATACATTGAAAAGGTACAGAGACAGAACACATCCCTGGCAGACCCCCTTCCCAATGTGGTGTCTCCTTGCTCTGTTCTGATGACTGCCTCTTGGTTCAAGAATAGGTTTTGCATTAGCATGATCAAGTGTTCTGGGATTCCCATTCTTTTGAGAGTCAGCCACAGTTTGTTATGATCCACATAGTCAAATGCCTTTGCATAGTCAATGATGCACAGATAGACATTCCTCTGGTATTCTCTGCTTTCAGCTAAGATCTATCTAACATTAGCTATAATATCCCTAGTACCATGGCCTCTTCTTTTTTTTTAATTAATTTCAATGAACATTTACAAAGATTTTGAATTTCCATTCATTGATTGTTGCACTTTTC